AGTTTGAAATGCGCTCACTGTCCCCGAATTTTTTAGTTTGAGATAGTTGAAAGAACATGGGGGATGCTGTTTTCGGCGAGTTGTCAATTTTATGCGGATCTTGGCTCGGACTATAACATGGTCAGATCCATGAAGATTGCCCGTTTCAGCTCTGCGATAGGAACGACTATCTAGTACGGAACTCTTCCAACGGCGATTGATTAAGATATAATCAATCTGGTTGAAGTGTTGGTTGTCCGGGGAATTCCACGTGACTAGATATTTTTTATGATGCCGGAAACAAGCATTAGTAACAAAAAGTTCATGCTCTTCGGCATAACGAAGAAGACGTTCCCCATTGGCACACCGATCTCCGATGCCATATTTGCCAATTGTTGAGGCCATCGCAGCTGCATTATGACCTACGCGAGCATTCCAGTCTCCCCCGATTATGATCATGTCATGTTTCGGTAGAGACTTTGTTAGCAGTTGAAGCTCCGCATAGAACTTATCTTTATTACGGTCACCTGGATCGGCTATATGAAAACCTATGATTCAATTTCTCTAAATATGAATCAATGAATCGAAAAGTTGACCCTTAACAAGATCCTTTAGAATCTTCATCGAGAAATCAATGGGATTGTGGAGAACGACTGGAAGACACTCCAAAACAACTTGTACAGATTTCTCCAAATAAGAGAATTTAGTACGTTATGCATTTTTATACCAAGGAATTATTTGGTAATATAGAATTACAAATGGAACACCACAAGTCTTCTTTAAAGCGAGGCTTAGCTATTCTAAACTGGCCATATGTGGTTCTTATTCCATGCATACATGCTTTAAAATAACAGATTTTTGATCTTAAAGTCATAAAGTAATTGGCGTTTTTTTTTTTACATGCAATAACTTTTACCTATTGAATAATTCATGTGAAACGGCCAATATAACCAATTTTCTTCTTGTCGATTAGTCCAAAACTTAATCAGTTAGCCGGTGTATTTTCTCTAAACTAGATGAACCTATTTTGGAGCTTTTAAACTTATGGTACTTACTTAAGTGATAATTTAAAGATCTTGGAACTAAAAAAATTGAAAAAATCATAATTTTCATAAATTTTTAATAATTTTTTTTATGTTAAAAATTTAAATTCAGTGTAATTTAGTGAAAGCTTTAAAAAGATATTCTGCGGCCAAAGCGTATCGTGTCAGGTCAATTGTTAGGTCAAATAAAATGACCATTGACCATTACAAAATGACCCATTAAATAATTATTTAGATTATTCAGAATTTATTGCTAATGCTATTCTTTAACTTAATTCTTTCTTAATTTTCGTTTAAAAATTATTTAATTATAATTATTTTAATTATAAATATTTTATAATATAATATTATTTTAAAATTGTTTAATTATTGATGATTTTTATTTTAATAATGAAAATATGAGAAAAAATCGAAATATAGCCTAGTCGCCAGATTTATTTAAATCAAAACCAGAATTTGAAAGCCGGCAACACCCAGTTTGCTCTGGTTCCACAATACTTACCGACAATAGCTCATTTATCAAAATAGTTCCAACTCTTCAACATCTAATGCAGACCTTATTTAACCGAGCTAACCATGACTCGAGTATGCGACATTCAAGATGACAACCAACATAGACATAGACCACTTTCCTCATTTTAATAATGCAATGGATACAATTAATTTTTTTGTGTTTTAAAAAACATAAAAAAAAATTACGATTGGCTTTTCCTCTTCCAGGGATTTCATTTTACAAGGAGGATTGATTTATTCTAAAAATATATTCGATAATTCTTTTCGTACGCATAGTTGTTAATTTTTAGATTTTTATATGAATATTCACAATCTTCATAGCGTTCGATTTGGACGAGCAATTTTGGTGCTAAACAAGGAGGCAACTCTAATCTCAATGCCCGATAAGCCTTACGAGCCAAAATTTCTAAAATATCAAAAAAAAGATGGGAACGAAGATCGTTGCGCTGTAAATATTTATATATAAAATATTATCATTAATACTTTTCATTATCAAAATATTATCATTAGTACTATTAACACTTTTCGGGAAATAACTATATATAGTCGTTGTTTGACAATTTGTAATAAGTAAAACTTCACTTTTAGTCGGTTTAGGTGATATTAATCGATTCGATTAGTCGAGTACCATTGCTTCGATTAAAATTAGCCATTTCGATTTTCAATCCTATCTTTTAGGAGTAAATATATCATTAAAAATAAAAGTCAGCTAGGTATCCTACTGCTAATTAATTAATAAATCCTCTGCTCCATCTATTCATCCTCGCTCTATTCTTCTAGCAACTCGCATCGTTACTGGCCATTCTCATTGCCAATAGTACCATTGGTACTATTAATATTGGTACCAATAGATAAACTAAACCACAAATGATAAATATTGTTAAAAGACGAAGAAAAAAACTATAAAAATGAATTGAAATGAATTTTTAACAGATTTGTTTGAAACAATTCGAAGTGAAGGAAACTATTCGCGAATTGAAATGTAAGCATTATTTTCACAAAGATTGTATAAATTATTGGTTAAACAAACAGCTTAGTTGTCCAATTTGTCGTCAAATTCCCATCGAAATTCCAATCGAAGCTTCGATCGACTTCAATCATTCAGTTAGACTCGTTATTTGTGAAATAATTTCTTATGTAATTTTAATTTCATTCATACTTTTAGGTATTTTATTTGGTATATTTATTTTAGTTATTACTTTTTAAATAATGGAAATATTAGATTTTAAAGAAATAAACTGTATTAGTTGTTTGTTGTTCTAAATCGATCTTTTCGCATTATCACTAATTATCACCATCTTTTTTTTAATGGTAAAATATTTTGGAAATTCTATTCAACCTTTCAAGTGAATAATAGTGAGAGCTGTTAGAAGAAGAAGGTGAAGGTGTTTCCCATGAAAGTTATTTCCATGAAAGTTAACTTTACGTGACTCTATTAGATTGGAAACTTGAACCCATTTTTCATATAATCTAACCGGTAACCCATCTTTAGGTAATTAATTCAAATCAGGCTATCTAAATTATATCGCAAATAATTATGAAAGCTGATTTCACATTGTGAAATGAAGGCTATATTTGTCCGGTTTATACGAATTTTGCCATTTAAGAAAAAATTTATATGGTTATATAATTTATATAATTGAGGATAGGATGGCTCAGTGGATTGTTGCCCAATTGGAAACGCCAATGTTGAGGTCCGATTTCCAGCAGGAGTAAACCTGTATTCTGTAAAGATTCCGGTGACACTGGTGACTCACCTATATTTCTATAGCCAAGGGATTCCCTACCATATTGCCCAATAAGACAAGAAGAGTACCTTAAAATTCTCAAATTGACATAATCATATCACAAATGAGTTCGTTTTTTTTTTCTTTAATAGACCACTGGTAATGCTCGTAAGGCTGACTCTACTAGATTTAAGGTTTAAGTATTTTCATGTTTCGCCCATATCATTCAAATTCTAGAAATGCATAAATGATGGAATTTTAATGGAGTTAAGCGTTTTATAGGATTATTTAAAGTTTTTCGTAATAAAGGAGAGTCGTAAACTTTTAGAGGTAACAAAGGATTTTAACAAGGTGAGTCTGAGTTCCATAAGTAATAGGTAATATAATATAATAGGTTCTTGAAAAATATTTGCTGATTGTAATAATAGGGCGAAAACGATACTTAGACAAGAATATTTTGGGAATTGTAACTGAATCTGAAAAAGTTGAACACATTAACGAATTTGAGATCTTTGAGAAATATCGAAGGAATTTAGGGGGAAATGGAGACTTCAAATAAACTCTAAGAAATTGAATCTGACGTTACTTATATGATGTGGCAAAATAATAAAGCAATCAAGACGCGGACTGATGTATGCAGACTGAAAAATTTAGAAAAACGTATAGATGGATTTAGGCGATGAAAAAAGGAATAGCTTCTAATATTGATATCGATGACATCGGACCGAGCAGCTTGGAGACGCCTTACTCTTGTAACCAGCGGAGCAGGTCTAACCAGTAATGACGAGGGTTGTTAGAAGAAGAAGAACTATGTTAATAGAAACTAATCTGCTTTCATATAGCTTAAGCACTTCTTTTAAGAGCTGATAATAGATAATATATTAATTATTAATATATTAATAATAATTAATTGTTAATATATAATATTAATAATAATTAGATAATTAAAATTACAGCTTTACCACATTTTTATTAACCATTATCATCACAATGTACATACAAAAATTTAAATCATTTCGATATGAGCAGTATAAATGAGAAGATATATTATAAAAAATAATTTCTATACCTTAAAACGAATAAAAATTTTTTGCTATTTATTCAAATTGGAATGCAATAAAATCAGAAATATAAACCGGTTATCATTGTTTTCTATGAAATAAATGAATAAAATGAAGAACCGCAAAAGCATTTAATGCGAAAAGAATATGAATATAAAATACACTAAGAACAATAATGAAGTGAAAAATTTGCCACATAAAATGAAATAATACAAAAATAAAAGTAATAATCAAGTCGATAATGTAGTAGTACAGTTAAAGAAAAAGAACTGTATCAACTGGTATTCAAATGATATTATTAAATTAATTAAACAATAATTTAGCAGAATTTTTTTCTAATTCAATCAGACTGGAATACGCTTTATAAAACTTTGAAGTCAAATATCATAATGAGTTAATGTTATGTTATTATTTTTATTATATTTGGAATGAATAAAAGAACATTTAAAATTAATCTATCGAACCGATTGTTGTAAAATTGTTCTTTTTTTAATAGCGTTAGATAAGGGTTTTGGATTTTTACTAGTCTTAAAACACCACCAAAGTCTCAAAGTTTCGTCGCCAGAAGCTGATATGACGTATTGACCACAAGGTGAACGACAAAGATTTAGTACTCGTTCTGTGTGTCCAGTTAGAGTCTAAAACAGTTCGAAATATTTCGAAATATATAAAATATTTGAACAGAAAAAACTGAATGTATTTTGATATTAAACCAAAATCTTAGCGTTTTATGGCTTAAGTCTTCCCGATAAATAGTATTAAAAAGATAAATTGAATAAAAGATAAATTTTTACTTGAACGCAAGTCATTGATGGATATTTCCAAATCTTTAAATCATTTCTGGGATATCCATGACCAGTGATAATTTCTTTATAATGACGACTAAATAGTATAGCGTTCACCTAAATCCAATATTACTATGGGGAAAAATAAAATAATCATATTTGATCAAAAAATGACTAAAAAAGCCATTAAAATAAAATTAATTTTTTTTTAAATTATAAATAATTTAAAGCAGAAGAAAAAATAGTAAATATCAAATATCAAAATTAAATGGATCCAAAATATAATCGTATCTCGTAACGAAATATAAACCTAGAAAAAACAGTCGGACGAATCGAAATTGTCTTCAAAAGCATCCCCTGATATCCGTTAATGTCACCTCAAAACTTATTCCTCATGTTACTCTTTCTGACTTTTTTAGCCGTAGATGTCGTTAAAGAGATGCTAAGAAAGTATAAAGTGAGTATAAAGAACTACAAACAACTGTATCTGAACAATAGGAGTATATGATGGTAATATTAATTGCTTACTGAACTCAAAGAATTTAGCGAAAGAGATTTTTGATAGAACTAAGTTTTAAAAACTATCGAAAAATTTCAATATCGTCCGGAATTTCCTTCGAGATTACAACCTATATCTAATCATGGAATCAATCAAGGATTTTATTGAATTGATTTATTACTCACTTGGCTTTCAGTCTGTTCACTAGAACAAAGCGTGCCAGAAGTGATGTTCCAGATTTTAATAGATCGATCATTGGTTCCGCCACCAGATGCCAGATGTTCAGTACTGTTAGGATCAAACGCTAAGGCTTTTACTGATGCTGTATGATCAGTGAATGTGTGAAAAGGCTCCTTAAAAAATTAAGATGAAAATCTTAAAATCAAACTAATTTCTAAAATTTAATGATTTTTTAACATTATTAATTTAGTACCATTAATTTAATAATGAAACAAAATAAAGACGATACAGGGTTGTTTGAAGAAATCATTTCAGGTTTCCATATATTAACCAAATCATCGCCACCACCACTTGCTAAATACCGACCATTTGGACTCCAAACTAGACCACATACCTCTTGAGTATGACTTTCGAAAGTCCTGTAACTTAGCGATATCAACAGAAAATAATGATCACTTTACTACCATTTATGGTTTCCTATTTTTATTTCCTACTTTCCAGTTTCCAGTTATCCAGTTTCATAGAAATTGATTTATTCTATATACGATAATAAATACTAAAGCTAAAAATTAACACTTCAGTGCTTAATGATTTGAAAATAAAAATACCCAATGTGATGATTTGCAATTCTCACATCATGGTTGTAGATTCGCCCAGACCGACAGCCTCTATCAATAGATAACAGTAAAAAATTGTAATAAATGAAAAATTCCACTCAAAAGTTTTTTCTTAAAAAACAATAAAAGCAGTAAAATTAGTGATAAAATTATGATACATACGCTGATAATACGTGTTGTCGCCATGAAAGACTAGGAATCCGAGTTATCTGGGTTTGCATTGTACGTAATAGGCAGTTGGGTTTGGTAGGGTCAAATATCTTAAATAAATAAATAAATAATAGTGGTAAGCAAAAACAATTTAAAATTTAACAATTTAAAATAATGAAAATATATATATATATATATATATAAATAGAACAAAAAACATAAAAATAAAGCATAGAAATTTTAGTGCAAATAAGCAGACCTTGATTTGCCCATCGGATAATCCAATTGCCAAATATGGTCCTTCACCAGCCCACTTCACTGACGATATAAATGTTCCTCGTTCAGATGGTAGTTCAAAAAGAGTCTAGAAAAAAACAAACTATAATAAAATAAAATAAAATGAATAAAATCAAATAATAAACTTATCGTCCAACCTAGAAAATTTACCTCAATCTCTCCACTACCTGCGTTCCACAAATATACGCTATAAGCCAGCGCCACACCCACACAGTTATGGTGACCCCAATCGATTAAATTCAAATCTAAATATGTTTACGTATGAATCTTTGTTCACAAAATTTTGTGATAATAAACATGAAAAGTAAAAGATCAGTAATATGGCTTAAAAAAATTTCTTATACCAATAAAATGAGTAAGAAAGAATTTCTAAAGAATTCTTTTTTTAAAGAATTCTAAAAGAAAATCATTTTTGCAACAATCAATTACAATATAAACAAACAAACAATATAAAATAATAATTTACAATAGTCATCTATATAATTTGGTGCATCAAGAATTCGTTCTGGAGTGGTAGGTATATGACGTAGCCCTTTCCTGGCACTGCTTATGGGTAATGCATTCGTAGAAGAGTACAATACTTTTCGATGAGTTGGTTGTCCAGATACCGGTGGAGCTTGCCCTCTCCTATATATCAAGATTCTTTCATCATCAATGTTTACTTCGCCGGCAGATTTAGCTTTAAAAAAAAAAATTTTCATATTAAAAAAAGGAAAAAAGTAAAATATTTTAAATACAAAATACAAAATATATTGAAAATAAAATAATTAATATTTTAAAAATGAACGAAAAATTTATTGGCCATCAGATTGAAAACTTCGTGATCATCGACCAAAATGGTTTGCCCATTGTTGAAAGATTTTTATAGAGTTAAATTCATTAAAAATAATGTACGCCAAGTATTGTATACACCGAAATGTGCGTTTTTCAATGGCATACTTATCAGTGGCGGATTTTTTTTTTCGAATTTAGCATATTAGGCTTGGTACAATACACTGATAGTACAAGCCGGTATGGAAATCTAGCAACAATCCACTTGATATCAGACCTTTTACTTAATCATCATTTGGCCGTTTAATTAACTAATACTATTTTAATATGTAAAAGTTAGAGTAGAAATAGAAATAAAATTATTTAAGAGAATTAAAAGTGATTATAAGATAGGAAACGTCAGTTGAATAAAGAAACTAGTCCAGGTCAACACAATATATTTCCACTTGCATTTTTAGTTTTATTTAGTCTTAGTGTATACCCATTAAGGCATATGAGGCAAAATTTTGCAATATAGCAGAAGAGGCTTAGATTTCTCTTTCGTTCTTAAATACTCAAAAAAAATCATTTTAAATACCTTATTTCATCCTAAAATACAAATTTTTCTTCGATTTGTTAAATTCTTACTGATGAAATAGTAGGAAAAAAGAAAGGTCGTATAAAAAGGGATATTTCCACTTCGTATTGGAATGGTTCTTTAGTATCATAGTGAATAATTATATTCTATATTGAGAATAAAATGATTAGAAAAGTAAGAGAAGAGAAAATAGAAGATAATAGAAAAGTAAGAGTTTTGATTAAAGAAAGTAAAGAATACCTCGCATAAGATGCATCATATATTTTTTCTCCTCTTTTCTGCCAGGAGAAATAGAGGGAAGTGAACCGGATAAACTGAGTAACTCACCCTTGAATAAACTTAATTAATTATTAAACCAATAAATAACAAATAATATTATTTGCAAATAGTACTGAAAATATGAATTTACTTGCACATTGTGATTAACAAGGCAGTGATTGGCATATTCAAATTGCGTGCTCGATCGACACGGAATATATCGATCACCGCCACCTATACCCATAAAATTTGGATTTCGAGATGGCGTTAATTCACGCCTCTTTAATCCACCTTTTGCTTTGTTGAACGGAATATTCGTATTTAGATTTGATTGAGTTTGCAAGGCACTATTCAATGAACCATTCAAACTGAAAATATTGCAAAAATGACCTAAAGAAAATCCGAAAATATGAAAGATTCTCTAATATTTCATAAAATCAAAGTCAAACCAACCAATATAGTAGAAAGCAAAAGCAAAAATGAAAATGTGTCGTCAATTTATGTTAAATTTAATTTTTTTTTGAAAATTCAATGATAAACTGGTACTTTGTCGGAAATAAATCAATTTTTAAAAAAGTTTTCTGACGAAGGATTTTAGAAATCAGTGAACTCAGTCATATTATTCTGTGGCCTTTGCTATTAGAATTCAAAATGAATTTATGCTAAAAATAAAAATTTGTTTAAAATGTTATTCCTCAATTTTAGTTATCAATCAGACATTAGAAAAATGATATAACTTTTCCTCATTTTCGTTCTTTATTCGTTTTTTTCGTTTTTTCGTTATGTTTTCTTATTTTCCATCACCATATTTAGCACCAAACTATTCTATCCGTTCTATATTTCCTATTGTCTTATCATTTTTATCAACAAAATTTTATTAATAAAAAGTTGATAACTGGCATAATTCAAAAAAATTTTAAATTTAAGCTATTTTCATAATTACAATAACATATAATTGAATTTACTACCAAAAAATATGAATATAAATAATTTAGAAGAAATTTCAACAAAAGCAAATAAAAAATAACCAGAGACTGCCACTTGGGGTCCTTGATGTACCATTGAGTGATAATTCCGATATTTGTGTAGTCATTTCAAGCACTGGCGTTTTACTTCTGCTTTCATTTGTTGCCATCACTTTGGAATAAATGTTAGTTAACAAATTAGTTTATACAAGTTAAATAACGCTGAAATTAAAAAATTATTAATAATTAAATTATTAATTATTAAAAAATTCAGTTACTCTATGAAAAAACCGAAGCAAAGGGCAAGATGGACAAATTGGCCAAATTATATATTACTTCGACATCGTATATATCATGGATAATATCTATCCTTTAATGGAACTAAACTTATCATCATGAGAGCAATATTGTATTTTGCCAAAGATTTACCTACTATATGTCCACGCTCAAGTAATTCACTGGGAAGTAACTGCGGCACCGTAACAGCGACTGCATTCAAATTAAACTAATTAAAAACCCTAATGATAAACCCTATTACTGCACAAGAAACTGCACTCATCGTTTAATCTGAATCAGAGCACTGAAGACAGTTGCGCTTGCGCTCATTCCTCTTTTTCTTCTCATTCTTTTCCTTTTTTTCCTCCATCTTATCACCATATCATTTCCTCCCCAATAATCTTACCAATGAATCGTCTTATTTTGCTTTATTCTATTAATAAAGATTTTTTTTTTTGGGTATCCCACATCGGCGCAGTATTTCCTTACTGTTCACTCTACTACATTCTTGCCAAGCCAAAAAGAAAACACAATAGCCCAGATAACCGACAAATAGCTAATTCCGTTTTGTTTTATTAAACATTATGATTTTCAACAACTAATTATAAAAAAATTATTAGGCGAATGCTTAGATGAATTTGATAAGATAAGGCTTTTGATCTCATAGATAAAATAAATACGAATAAAACGATTAAAATAATATTTAATGAATCGATAATTTGATCAATATATCGAAATATGAAAATTTAAAAAATTTAAAAAATATTAAAATTTAAAAAAAAAGAAAAAATAACTGGGAATAAACGATCGAGAAAGCGATTAATAAGCTACCTTCACTAGGAATTAATTCCTAAACAATTTAAAACTATTTATGAGCACCTAAAAGCTTTCCTCTAGAACTGAGGAATATATCAATCGATATTAACCATATTAAAAATTAAAATCATTTCAAATAAAAATTGATTTATTCGAAAATACCAATAAAAATAATATATTTCCAGAATAAAGCACTACACTATAAAAAAATTCACTATAAACGAAATAAGGTTTATTAAGGTTTAAACATAATATGATTTAATGCAAGTCCTTGATAGTCTTATTATGATATTGTGGAAATTAAGTCCCAAGGATCACTACGAGGTTCAACTCCCAAGGACCACCACGGAGCCCCTCAAATCATATTTTGACAAGTACTGATCAAATTTTTTCAACGCAAAATACTATACTTATATAATCCCTGGAAAAGGGCTGACCACTAAGCCACAAAAAATAAGGCAAAATTAAGCCAAACCTATGACCCACAACCCATAAACCACAAACCCCTCCCTTCACCTACCCATTTTTTTTAATGAGAAAAGAAATAGCGCAAAATTTAAACAAAGGTAGCGCGCCAAAAAAAGTTACGTTGATCAAATAGAGATGTAAATTCGAGGAAGGGCGTGGCTTCACCTGAAAAGTCTATGTTGGTTATATTGGTTATAATAGAAGTCAAGAGAAAGCAAATCGTGGGTGCTTCATTTGATTTGGTAAGATTTTAAAGTAATTAAAAAATTTCATATCACTCTTATCACTAATCCTAATCCTTATCACTTCTATTCATATCACTTCTTAATCTTCTTTCGCCAAGGCTAAACACAACTCTTTATCATTTGCTCTCGTCAAATTTGCTTGTGTGGTTCTTTCATAGGTTTATAGATCTCTAATTCAAAACCAAAAAATGCTTGTAGAATGGATGTAAAATCAACAACGACTGGTTATCTTCACATTCATGGCGAGCAATAATTGAATAGGTAAATAATCGAACGTCAGAAGAGTCTATTATGAAGATGAATGAACGACATGAGGCGAAGAATAATAAGATTTAAGTAAGGTATTATTATCATTATTATTGTATTATTATCATTAATTATTATAATTAATTGTTATTATCAGTAATTATAATTAATTATTATCACTATTATAATTATCATATCATTATCATTATTAATTATTATTAATTATCATTATTAATTATTATTACTATTATTATTAATTATTGTTATCACTAATTGTTATTAATTATTATTATTTTATTATTATTGTTATTGTTGTTATTATTGTTTTTATTATTTTATTACTATTACTATTAATGTTTTCATTATTATTACTGTTATTATTTTCACTATTATTGCTATTAATATTTTAATATTATCATTATTATTATTATATAAATTTTTATTTAATTTTTATTTTTATTTATTTATTTATTTTTATTTACTTAAATAAAAACTAATATTATTTAAATTTTATATTATTAAATAATTATTATATTTATTTAAATGGCTTATTTAATTTCAAATCATCATGAAGTGTCAAGGACGACTCAATTTTTATTAAGAAAAGTTTACATTGAAGTTTATATGGATATTATATTATAAATTATAAATATATTATCCCTACCTCATTCATTAATATAATTACATCCAATTGGTTAAAATTATTAAAATCTATCCGTACGACTCATTTATAATTTCTTTGTCCACACTATTCTTTTCTCCAATAAAATTATGTATGAGCTCAGTATATGCTTCATTAATAAGTAATTTTTAAAGAAAAATCTTCACAATTTTATTGAATCACATCATCTTCTTCTCTTCTTCTTCTATCAGCTCTCACCATTACTGGTTAGACTGATTCCGCTGGCTACAAGGCTAAGACATCTCCAAGCTGATCGGTCCGATGCCATCGCTAGTAGTAATGGAAACCATTCCTTTTTCTATCGTCTAAGTTGCTGGTATATATTGCTGGTCCCTTTATATGTTCAAAATTTCAAAATCTTTGTCAGTTCAGGTCTTGACTGGCTCTCCTCGCTTTTGACGCCAACTATCACAGGGTTTAGCAAATAACGAAATATGCGTCAACTCCTGTGGTGGACGACAGAGAATGTGCCCTAACCAGCGAAGGCAACGCTCTGTGATAACATTATTAATAGAACAAGTAGCAGTTGAGCGAAGATGGATACAGTGTGCGATTTTATCCGCTTGATGGATCTCATCAAAAATTATTCAAATAATATATCTGTGAATGTGGAATATGCTAAAAAAATATATTCATCAGTAATTTATTGTAATAATCAGTAGCAAATTTAACAAATTTGGCTCACAAAAAAGATTCAATTTAAGATTTTATTCAACTCATTGTTTCTAATTTTGTTGAAATCATAAATTTTCAGCTTAATTAGTCTATGGTAGTATTAGTGGCAAAAGCACTGAAGGGTGCGATGCGACTTCAAACTGGAAAAGTGGCTAAAACAATTTCGAAGAATAGCATCAGAGATCTCTATTCAGAAAAGCTCTGTTAGGAAAAACTAAGGCACTACGCAGAATCTTTAAGCTTTCTGGCTTTACATATAAGAAGTTTCTTCGAAAATATATTTTATATTAAATTTATTTAAAAAAAAACATTTAAAAATTACCATTTTAGATTGAGCAACAGAAATAATTTAATAAATAATAGAATGTAATTTAGGGGTTCGATGGCTTAATAGGTTATTGCTTAATTCGTAGCGGCGATACTAAGGTTCTATTCCCAGCAGGAGTAAACTTATCCGAAAATCCGGGCGACTCACCTGTATTTCTATCGCCAAGAGATTCTATGGTATATTTGTAATGGGACAATGCGACAAGCCAGCGGAGGGAGTTTAACAAGTAATGGTAAATATTCTTTAAAAAAATAATACTAGTAAAATCAATATTATCAATCAATATTATAAATATTAATCAATATTATAAATAAAATTATAAATTATAAATATTGTTTAAATATTGTTTAACATATGAATCATTAAGAAATGTGAAAAACATGAAATGAATAAATAATCCATGAAAAAAGGCTACCTCTTTTTTAGAAGGTTCAGAAGGCTACTGTAGTGTTGAAATGGTCCTAAAATTCCGTTTACATGGGTCATATTTATTCTTTTTGTACAAAAAAACACCTAGGAAGGTTAAGGCGGAAGAATATGAAGGCTTGAAAATGGCAAAAATGGTCGAGTAGTGTTCCCAGTGCTAAAAACAGTCTCTGGTTAGTTCCATTTTTGTCTTCGTGAGGCCAATGATCTCGTGATTTTAACCTCAGATAAAGCCCACGGCTGAAAGCTCTCTTCTCTCATTTTATCGAAATCATCCAAACCAAAAATGATGAGTGCTATAAGAAAAAAAAGGAGATAATAGTTATATCACATTATTTTTATAATTGGTAAACTTATGAACATTTGTGGAAAATTTAATTTGAAATTTTCCAGAAATTTCACAAAGATAGTTAACATGTTCCACGACAAATGATAGGGCACTGCTGTTTCAGCGTTGTCGAGTATGGTGGAGTGTTACATAGGTGAGTGAATTGTGCACAGTTCGGTCTGTCCACACAAGTTCTTTGTGACGGGGTTGTACTCGCTGAAGATATATCGTTAAGCACAATTATTTTATAATTACAATTATAATTATTTAATATTGCGGTTATTACAAATTATTTGATCGTTCATTTAGCGAAAATTCGTAGAAGCAACCTTGTGAGATGCAATTTGTCAAATCGCAAGTACCCTGACAGTTTTGTTGCATAAATGGCTCGGAACAATTTCTCAGTTGTCTGAAAAGAGCACAGTGATCGTTAAGATCTGGACACCTTCCCAGAGCACCAGGTCGATCGCAAAATCCGCACCTTTTTGGGCATTTATGAATTGCAATTGGTTGCAAATTTGCATCATTGCACATTGCAACAGTCAGATTTGTGCAAGCCGCTGCACTTGCTGGATCTAAACGATGCAATTTTTGATTTTATAAAGTTTCATACGGTTTTTTTAGTAGGAAAGAAAAAAAGCGGGCATAAAACGGATACCCATTCTTAAACTTTCTATGAAAATTTTTTTAAATTCAACGAACCATCACTGCAATTAAATTGCTTCGTCAAACAACACATTGCGCATGTCGATGGGCACATGGAAATCGCCAATCGTTTAAGCTCTGCTTTCATGCAGTTTTCATGCACTTTATATGCCATATTGCTAGATTAGTTTTTATCATAAAAAGTTCCGAAAATTAAATCATATTTTATATTTTAATTATTTATAACATACTTTATAAAATAAAATAAAAATTTGCCATTTTATATATTATAACTTTTTTTTCTTGCAAATTTCCAACCTAAAAATATTGACGTGAATTCATTTATTTTTCTTTGTTATTGAATTAATATATGACTATATTTAATAATTTTTCTCACTGCTTCATTAAATATGGAGAATATTGGTTTATTAATTTGAGGCTATAATCAATTCAAAATACTCTATAATATATATTGCTAGCTGTTATAATACTATTAAGCTTGGAAATTTATTAGCATCCTAAATCTTTTAGACTTTTCATGCACTGAAGCATGAACCATCATTAGTTTATGTCTACGTAAATAAATATAAAACCAATAAAACCCGCTTTGTTATTAGTCTGCATTTGTTCAGATTGGTTGTAGTAAATTTTTTTTTAAAATGAATGGATTTTAAAATAATTTTATAATTTTAATAATTTTATAATTAAATATTTTTAAAATCGAGCTATTAAAATTATTTCAGCTGCCAAACGATAAGGAAAATTATAAAAAAATTTTATTTTAGATGAAAAGCGCATTTATATTAAACATAAAAAATAATTGAATCGAATTGGACGAAAATCCATTATATGAAGTAAGAAAATATGTTTAATATATAATATATATAAAATATATATTTTACAAAAATACATTTACATATTTATATATATATATATATATATATATACCCATTTATATTTTTATTTATTTATTTAATACAACAAATATATTTTACAAAATATACTTTGATAAATATGTATTAAATATATATATGTAATATATATTTTATTATTTATTTATATTTTATTATTTATATTTTATTATTATTTATATTTTATTATGTCGAAATTGAAGGAATCTTCATTGCCCTTTTGTGGTCATTAGACCACACTAAGCCAGTTAATAATTCATTTAAAATGCTTTAAAATGCTTGAAATTTTAGAAAGTTTGGATTATTATGAATTCTAAATTCAATGAATCCTAAATTTTATGGCAATTTTCGTTGCAAATTTTTTTTTTTGAATAATTAAGTTCTTACGGATTTAAGTTTTCACCGATAGTAGCTGCATTCAATTCGAATTGAGCCATACAAAAAGCGCTATTACTATCGTGACAAGCGTTCGGTGAAATACTCGGCTTTTTTTGCCCTCCGACCATCGCAACACATTCAACTATTTCATTATATCCCGCATTAATAAAAAATGGAAATAAAAGGGTGAGAAGGGCGACGATAATACCTTTGCACATTTTCACCATAAATTTTTACCGATTGCATACAAAATAACCTTTTATATAGTTGTAAATCAAAAATCACTTATATATTTATTAGGCAATACAAAGGAAAGATGAACGAAAACTATGAAATTTTCTTGAACTATAAAATTTATTCATCTGTTCATCTGTACATATTTACTCATTTATATAATAAAATATAAAATACTCTACAATTATTGGTTTTAAATTCGAAAAAATTAAAAAAAAAAAAGGAGTAGGAACATATGAATTTGTATTTTACTGAGTGGCGTAGTCGTTTCTTCTTTGATTGGCTTCACTGACGAAATGCAAGAATAGAGTTCTTATTAAATAATTTTTAATTATTATTATTAATTTAATTAAAATAATAACTATAAATAATCGAAAAATTGCTTGGGGATAAGAATAGAAGCATTTAAATTTCGCTAAGCTTTCCACGACTTTAAGATTTGAATCTTATTATCTTATTATTATCAGTAGAATCTTATTATCAATAGAAGCAACAACAATATTCCGCTTAACTTCTCCCATCTGTTTAACCAAATGTAATAGATTTATTTTAAACGTATAGGTTCACCAGCAATATATGGACTTAGACGATGGAAAAAGGAATGGCTTCTATTACTGTCAACGATGGCATCAGACCGCGCCGCTTCCTACCTTTGTAGTCGTTGTAGTCAGCTTAACCAGTGATGGTGAGAGCTGTTAGAAAAAGAAGAATACATTTATACTTAGTTTGTTTTTATGCTTACTTTTGTGCTTTTTTATAATTTTTATATTTTTCTTTTTTTATATTTGAATAAAAAATAACTTTAGATAAAGTTTTGAATAGATAATATATATTTATATATGCGAATAAATTTTTTAAAATTTAATTTAAAGCAATTTGCGATAAATAATTTTAAAAATAATAATAATTTGATATAAAATGATAATTTAATAAATTAATAAAAATAATAATTTTAATATGAAAATAATTTAAATTTCTGCAAAATTTGTTCTGTTCTACTGTTAATAATTATTGGCAAAGTTATAATACAATTTTTAGGAAATTAAGCGAGAATTCAAGGAAAAAAAATGAAACAATAAAGTACCTATTGACCTTTTCATAATTTTTTTCGTGTCAATTCATTTAAATTTTATTTATTATAGATTTTATTAAATTTTATTTGTTTATCTGTTTGTTAAATAAATTTTATTTTGCCAAATTTCAAATTTTATCAAACGTTATTGGAGATTTTTTACTGATTTCTTATAAATAATTGATATAAATATATGTAAATAAATATAAATAATTGATTAGCACTCAGTTCTTTATTCTTCTTAGGCTAACCAAACTGTTATTAGCTATTCGTACGGTTAAAAATTTTTACTAGAAAAAATTATTTGGTGATAAAAACATAGAATATCATCTCTGAACTTCATATTTCTTTTCCTTAAAAATTCTTTAGAAGTTTATCTTTTATTTTTTTTTCAACTATCTATTATTAATCTAATATAAACGCCAATCAAATATATGTAATAAATAAAAATATAAAAAAATTATAAAATTAAAAAACATCGAGCTAATGAAATTAATAGAGCTAATGAAACTGATTAAATTAAACTAATAAATCAAAATTTTTTAATTTAATTAATTTTTAATAAATTATTAGTAAATTAATAAATTTAATTAAAATTTTAATTTAATTTTTAATACAATAAAGTTCAACCAAATAGGCATTCGATTCCTTACTATTATCGAACCAGTAACACTTATATTCATTCTTGGAAAAAATAGCCAAATACGCAAACAAGCAAAAAGTGAATTATTTGCAAAGATGAAAAAATGATAGATGTTTATTTATTATGTTTATTAATGCTTAAACTCTGTTCAATATTGTTGAAAAAAAGAATTTAGAAAATCAAAAATTTAATTGGTAATTAAGTTGATAATTGATAAAATAATAGCTTATTGTGAAAAAGAAATTGATAAAATTGATAAAATATTGATAAAAGAAAAAGTTTTAAAAGAGAATTATTTGAATGAAAAATTGTAAAACTTCTCTCATATATTTTTTCTCAATTAACCTCATTTTTATTGTTATTTTTATTGTTTTTAAAATAAATTAAATTTCATTTCTCTATAGGTAAGTACAATTCGCCTTAGTGCCGTATAAACTTATATACTTCTATATTTTTTAACAAATATCTACGACTCTAAGTTGTTTGGTGAATTTGGTGATTTTTAAGATGACCATTGTTCAACTTGGAAAGAAATCTATTGAAAAATTAGAATTAGAAATTTATTGAAAATTACTAATTGCAGAACCATTATGATAATCCAGGACGTACTGAATTTTCGTTTTTACATTATTTCTTTCGCTGTTGAAAGACGACGTAGAATAATAGTATCTACGATTTTCTGGATCATTCCATTTGGTTAGCTTTTTTTAAAATTTTCTATTTCTTTCAGAAAGAAGTTAAATTTTTTTCTTCGATTTTTTAATAATATAGAATAATAATAATAAGTGAAAAAATTTTGAATGGTTCATTTGCATAAGTGAAAATAATAGATTCAATTAACCGCAATTAATCAATCGTAAAATGAGATGGAGGCTGATGGAGATTGATAGTGATATATGATAACATGATAAATATTGATAACAGTAAGCACGATTGATATTGATAACAGTAAGCACGGTCCATGATAGACTTCAATTTTATTCGCTCATTCTCCTTTCGAAATAGAAGTGAATCGGCTAGCATCGCCCGCAGTAGACGCTCAGCGTCACTCTGCTCTGAAGCCTAAGCAACACTTCACTTTTCTATTCTCTCTTGTTTTCTTAGCGCGATGCTGTGGTCTGATTTGAATCCAAGCCTCAATTTTTGAATAGGTGAATTCAACGGAAATGTTACTGGAAATTCTCCTTGAATTTCTTGAATCTACTTTACTCTATTTTGCGAAATTTCGTGAAATTTCTCTTTATTTAGTCGCATCACAAATGAAACATTCAATGTTGTTATTTTATTTATAAAAGGTTTTTTCGAAAATATATTTCATAATCGAAATATTCAAAATGTAAAAATTACCATTTTCCATTAAACAACGAATAAAATTAAAAAATCAATATTGTAAAAAATAATAAAATAAATATAACTAGGAAATCCGAACAATGTGAAATAAATAAATAAAATTTAGAAGAAGATTGCCTCTTTTTATTCGAGAGAGGCTATAGCTGTTGAAATGGCCTCAAGGTTCCATTTCTATCGGTCTTACTTATCTATTTTATTCCAAGAGAATGGAAGGTCTTATTAAAAAATTTACCCATAGGAAGATTAGGGCAGAAGGATGGGAATGGTAAAAGTGATCGAGTGATATGTTCCCATGTGCTAGAATCAATCTCTGATAAGTTCCATTTTTGCCTTCGTGAGGACGATGATCCCGTAATTTTAACCTCAATTAAAGCCCTCCGCCGAAAGCCTTTCATATTATCGAAGCCAATCAAACCAGAAATAATAAGTGCTATCAGAAAAAAAGGAGATAATAATTATATCACATTATTTTTATAATTGGAAACTTATGAACATTTGTGCAAAATCTAATTTGAAATTTTCCAAAAATTTCACAAAGATAGTTAACATGTTCCACGACAAATGATAGGGCACTGCTGTTTCAGCGTTGTCGAGTATGGTGGAGTGTTACATAGGTGAGTGAATTGTGCACAGTTCGGTCTGTCCACACAAGTTCTTTGTGACGGGGTTGTACTCGCTGAAGATATATCGTTAAGCACAATTATTTTATAATTACAATTATAATTATTTAATATTGCGGTTATTACAAATTATTTGATCGTTCATTTAGCGAAAATTCGTAGAAGCAACCTTGTGAGATGCAATTTGTCAAATCGCAAGTACCCTGACAGTTTTGTTGCATAAATGGCTCGGAACAATTTCTCAGTTGTCTGAAAAGAGCACAGTGATCGTTAAGATCTGG